AAAGAGCAAAAGAAGAGAAATGACAAAAAGCTAAAAGGAAATGGTAGATCTAAACAACGCAAAAAGCTAGATCTAAACCAAAACCCTAAAAAGAAAGAACAAAAGAAAGGAAATGGAAAAAGCTAGATTTAAACAATGCAAAAGTTAGATCTAAACCAAAATCCCAAATCCAAGCACTCCTCAGGGACAATCAAAGGTGCCCCTCAACTCCACCAATGTGAGTGCATGGAATATAAAAAGGGAATACAGAAATATGCATATTAATTAGCCCAAAAACCCTAGTTTATATATAGGAGCGAGTGGTCCAGATTGAAACTAATCCAACGGCTACCAAAATCCCACTACACTAATATTAGTATACAGCATCATAACTGTACACTTGGCCCTCACAAAACCATGATATACACAAAATTGCCAAGGGTACTGTTGGATAGAAAAAGAAAAGGAAACCCAAGAAATAGTATGTATATTACTATATAATACATATGCTTTTGTTTTGTAATGTTTGTGTTTGTTGGAAAACCACTGCCAAAGGTGTTCAGGCTGTTCTTTGTCCCTATCCCACTGGTCGACTCTGTGGGGCTCATGGACAAGGTAAACACCTCGACACCTCGATTCAGAGCTAAAAGGCAATGAACGTCACGTGGCAAAGGCACATGCACTTTACTATGAATATGTTATGACGACCATTTTTGCCACAGCATTGCAGCAAAGCAAAATATTGTCATCCATGTTTGTCCTCCGCCTCCTCTTCCAAGATAGGAAGTGTATGATGCATTCGTGTTGTGAAAGTCTGTCAGCAAATTCTGTGAGCATGCATTTCCATAATAGAGAAACCATGTCTCTCCTTCTTGTGGCATCCATGCTATGCCTGTGTTTGGTTGTTTCTCATGGGATGTTGATAAACCCTACAGGGTCACCTGGTAGACTAACTCAGCAAGGGGCCAGTGTGCTCATGAATAAAGTCTTGAATTTCTTACGAAATGTTCCTTATCGGGACGCTTACTATGCTGGCCAAATACTTGTAGATCAGATTATCAATGTCGAGGGAAGAAGTGTCTGGGTTGAGGCTTGGTTGTTGAACGAAGCGTCGTGTTCATCTGACCCACAGTGGTTAAACTTGGTACCATGGGAGCGGCTGAATAAGTATGCTGTGGATCTCCTGCCACACTTGTGGGAACGAGCCATCAGAGGTGGATTTGCTAGCATTGTAGGTACCGAACACATCTTGCAGATTCGGTGTCAGGAATCTGGTGATACCAGTACTGGTGACCGTGCTGCTGCACAGCCAGGAGCGCTTGCACCTGAACTTGCCGGACCTAATGTGCAAGGGGACTGCGATCCCAAATTCAATACCCTGTTCAGCAAGGTTGATTATACGGACAAGTACGAGGATGGGACGTACATATACACCAATCACTATCTCAGGTCAGCAAATGCATGGTACACGCTGGTCATGCAGAGCGATTGCAACCTTGTCCTCTATGATAGCCAGAATGTGGCTAGATGGGCAAGTGATTCTTGGGGCAAAGGCAGCAATTGTTATGCCGTCCTTCACAAGAATGGTGTCTTAGCTGTGTACAAGCGAGAGAATGCAAATCCAGCATGGGAGTCAGAAATTGCTGACGATGCTACAGCAAGCTCCCTTCAGGACGATGGCAACTTCGTGATCTACAAGTACACGCCTTTTGATGGAATGACTCATGTAAAAGCAATTTGGGCTTCCATTAATCACAGGAAACAAAATCTCTAAATGGAGTTTATAAATCCAATCTAAAACATTACTAACACATTAATGTAAAACATAACTACGAATGGAATTTAAAAAAAAAAACTATATTCAAATAACCTAATTAAATGAAAAAGTTTATTTAGTTATTTGAATTTTTTTTAAAATTTTAGAGAGAGTGTGATTAGCACAAACTATAGTTTTCTTTTTCTCAAAAATATATTTCAACTTTTTTTTTAGGGTTCTTGGGTTAGGGTTTTAGCGGCAAATGGCAGTGGAGCGCAGGAAATCGACACCGGGACGGGGAGGCGTCGTCCAGCAGCGGCTGAGCGAGGACGAGGCCAGGGTACGCGCAATTGCGGAGATTGTAGGGGCTATGGTGGAAGGATGCCGCAACGGTGAGGACGTCGATCTCAATGCGCTCAAATCCGCTGCTTGCCGCCGCTACGGCCTTGCCCGAGCGCCAAAGCTCGTGGAGATGATCGCGGCGTTGCCAGAGAATGAGCGCGATCTCGTCCTGCCCAGGCTCAAGGCCAAGCCTGTGCGCACTGCCTCTGGGATTGCCGTGGTTGCGGTCATGTCCAAGCCTCATCGGTGCCCACACATCGCCACGACTGGGAATATCTGTGTCTACTGCCCGGGAGGCCCAGATTCGGACTTCGAATATAGCACACAGTCCTACACTGGGTATGAACCAACGAGCATGCGAGCAATTCGAGCAAGGTAAATTCTATAGTCTTTTTCATTTCTTTTTTTGCTAGCAAAAAAAAAATCAGGTACAATCCTTATATACAGGCTCGAGGTCGAGTGGATCAACTCAGGCGTCTGGGCCATAGCGTGGATAAGGTGATCAAGTTTATGAATTTTCTTCTCTGTCACTGAGCAAAGTCATCGCCACAGGTTGAATATATCCTTATGGGAGGTACTTTCATGTCTTTGCCAGCAGACTACCGCGACTATTTTATCCGAAATCTCCATGACGCTCTGTCTGGTCACACCTCTCGAGATGTGGAGGAAGCCGTGAGATACTCAGAGCATGCTGCCATCAAGTGCATTGGACTGACCATTGAGACGTAAGGCTTGCGGTGTTTTTTTCCACACCTGGTCGTTTTTCTCGCTGTTGCAGGCGTCCCGACTACTGTCTGTCTCCTCACTTGCGCCAGATGTTGTCTTATGGCTGTACGCGGCTTGAGATTGGGGTGCAGAGCACGTACGAAGATGTCGCTCGAGATACTAACCGGGGCCATACGGTTGGTGCTGTTGCTGACTGCTTTTGCCTTGCCAAGGACGCTGGCTTTAAGGTCCGATGGCATTTCCTACACGAACTTCTTTCGCTGATTATGTATTTCAGGTGGTTGCTCATATGATGCCTAACCTTCCAAACGTCGATATGGAACGGGACATGGAAAGCTTCCGCGAGTTTTTTGAAAATCCTTCCTTTCGAGCGGACGGCCTCAAAATCTATCCAACGCTGGTTATTCGAGGGACAGGTTTGTACGAGCTATGGAAGACTGGAAGGTTAGTGTATTTGCTGGTCTTTTCTCCGAGACAAAACTGATGTGCATCCTGATTGCTACAGGTACAAGAACTATCCACCTGAACAACTCGTCAATCTGGTTGCCCGAGTGTTGTCTCTGGTACCTCCCTGGACTCGGGTCTATCGCATACAACGTGACATCCCCATGCCTCTTGTAACGTCGGGCGTCGAGAAGGGAAACCTGCGAGAGCTGGCGTTGATGAGGATGGAGGACTTGGGCTTGAAATGTAGAGATGTCAGGACAAGAGAAGCTGGGATTCAGGTTTGCTCACATGCTCACGAGTAAGTAACATTCAAACAATAATTCTGATTCTTTTGCAGGATATACACAATCAAATCAAGCCTGAAGAAGTAGAGCTAGTAAGGCGTGACTACTGTGCTAACAAAGGCTGGGAGACGTTTCTGGCCTATGAAGACACTAGACAGGTATTTTGCCTAAAGCTTTCTCAAAGTCTTTCTCATGCATATCATGCTTATCTTGCTTGAGAGTGACCATCTAGGATATACTGGTGGGTTTACTGCGCCTGAGAAAATGCGGTCCCAACGCTACATGCCCCGAGCTGCTGGGACGATGTTCGATAGTTCGCGAGCTGCACGTTTATGGAACTGCGGTGCCTGTTCACGGCCGTGACGCCGACAAGCTACAACACCAGGTCTATTTGTTTTCATCTTTATCCTATTGTCTCAAGCTACTTCCAAATTGTACAGGGTTATGGAACTCTTTTGATGGAAGAAGCCGAGAGGATAGCTCGCAAGGAGCATCGATCCGTGAAACTGGCAGTGATATCCGGAGTGGGAACTAGACACTACTACAGGAAACTAGGCTATGAGCTAGAAGGTCCCTACATGACGAAAAGATTGTAAGGTTACAAGATGAGAATCTCAATCGCTTTCTTTGAAATCGTTTTGATTGCAAACGCGAATATTTAGCATATAGCGAAGACGAATAAAATCAGTGAGATCTTATGACAGCACATATTGTATTTAAAAGCTGCTAGTAATGAGATCAAACTCTACAACAAGTTGTACTTCAAAAACTGCTAGTAATCCTAGATGGTGTTTTACATTAGCACGGGACCTCCTTCCACCGAGCAAAACTATCTTGAATGCTGCTCAAAGATCGCAAATCAAAGTTGACTCCAATTATTGCAAACTAGTTATCTGTGAGATTGAATCCCTTTATTATATTGAATAAAATAACTCCAAGATTTCTCTAGTAATCAAAAGCTACTACAATTAGCAACTTTCTAAACACCTTTGATCAGGTCACATTGAATAGCCGAACGATTTCGGTCAAATTCAAGGAAACAACCACCATTCGTTTTTCCAATCTTATTGGTGGTGTCAATCTTCCAGGTCAATACACCATCGCTGAAACAACTGGTGTACGCGGCATATTCACCCCGGTCAACGCTTCTATTTCGAAATTTCGCGCAAAAACTTTGCATCCACGCCAAAGCGTGTGCGGCGGCGTCGAGAAGAGCACTCCTACTTAGAACAGTTTTTTTTTCTAATGGCGAGGACTCTCCATAGGAGAGGGTCTACAGCATCACGTGTGCTTTCTAGTCAAGCGTCTGGACCGTCGGATCAAATCCCAGCCCTTGGATCATTAGAAGCGTCGAAATGTGAAGCTTCCATGAAGTAGCATGGGCTTTGTGTGTAGAAGTTTTGGGGTCATGGTCCAAAGAGGCCAAGTGTCCAAGTTATGCTTCAAATATATAAACCCCTAGCTCCCAAACTATTTTCCGTTCTCCTCATTTCTTCCGGCTCGATCGATCCAGGGATGTAGCGCCAGGATCTGTGATCTGGATCTCGATCGAGTCGACTTCTAGTGGTAGCTCGTCGAATCGGGGGTGGAATTTTGTAGGTCGCCTCGCCCCTGAATTCCAGATATTGCCTCATTGGATCATCGCGAAAGAGGGGAAAAGGGGGGAGCGATGGCGGCTCCGACCGACGTGGAGCTGATGAGAGCGGCGAGCTCGCGATCGTGGACGGAAAATGTCTTCTCGCGCAGCTCGGTCAGGGAGGTGGATGATGAGGAGGCGCTGAAATGGGCCGCGCTGGAGAAGCTTCCCACATACGATCGCCTCCGGACGGCCATAATCAAGAATGTGGGCGAGCATGGGAGCACTCGCCACGAGCACATTGATGTCAAGTCCTTGGGCCTCACGGAGAGGAGGAATCTTGTGGAGAAGCTCTTGGCAACAACGGACACGGAGAACGAGATGTTCATCCGCAAGCTCCGGGAAAGGATCGACAGGTAGTAGAAATGTTTTGACTCGAGTTTCTTCTCACTCTTGGAACAATTGTCTCAGAGTCGGGATAGACCTTCCCAAAATCGAGGTGAGGTACGAAGGACTTCAAATCGAAGCTGATGTACGTGTCGGCAAGCGAGCTCTACCGACGCTGCTTAACTTTGTCATCAACATGTCCGAGGTTCGTACTATTAACGAAAAAATCTTTTCATCGCTCTCTGGCTCTTACTTTTTTGTTGTGATTTGTTTTTCCAGCAAATCTTGGGAAAGCTACACTTGCTCCCTTCTAAGAAACACGTCCTCACGATTTTGCGCAACGTTAGTGGTATCGTGAAGCCTTCCAGGTAACGAAATTGCTGCAGCTTTCGGCGAAAAATCTTGTGCTCATACTTCTCTACAGGATGACACTTCTGCTAGGCCCTCCTAACGCAGGGAAAACTACGCTGCTTCTGGCGCTTTCTGGAAAGTTGGACCAAAGCCTTAAGGCAAGGAAGTCCTCCAGCTTTTAGGAGATGGTTCTCATCTTAGATTTTACTTTACAGGTTTCTGGGAGAGTCACCTACAATGGCCACACATTGACTGAATTTGTGCCTCAAAGGACTTCTGCTTACATAAGCCAACACGACTTGCATAGCGGGGAGTTGACAGTGAGGGAGACGTTTGATTTTGCTTCTAGGTGTCAAGGCGTGGGAAGCAGATATGGTAAGCAACGTCCTGGGTTGGCGTGCAAGTGGAATTGACTTTCTTATAACTTGTGTCAGAGATGATAACGGAGCTTTCAAGACGGGAGAAAAATGCCAAGATCAAACCGGATCCTGATGTTGATGCGTTCATGAAGGCAAGAAGCACTTTTTGGTTGGCAGCGTTCTTACGAGTTTCTTACAGGCGTCGGCTATAGAGGGTCAGGAGACCTCCATTGTAACGGACTATGTGCTGAAGGTAAGCGTGTTTTGGATCGTGATCAAAGAGGATTTGCGGTTCTCATGCATTTTTTCGCTTCCAGATTTTGGGTTTGGACGTTTGTTCTGATATACTTGTCGGAGACGCCATGCGCAGGGGTATTTCTGGAGGACAAAAGAAGCGTGTCACTACAGGTAAGACTTGCAAGCCTGGAAGCTTTTTGGTCACGATTTGTTTATGACAAATGTTTAATTTGCAGGAGAGATGCTCGTTGGGCCTGCAAAGTCTCTTTTCATGGACGAGATTTCAACCGGTCTTGACAGCTCGACCACATTTCAGATAGTGAAGAGCTTAAGGCAGTTTGTCCATGTGCTCGATGCTACCATGGTCATCTCCTTGCTCCAGCCTGCGCCCGAGACGTTTGAGCTTTTCGACGACTTGATTCTTCTATCGGAGGGGCAGATTGTATATCAGGGGCCCCGGGAACTCGTGTTGGATTTCTTCGAGACGAAGGGATTTAAATGTCCTCCGAGGAAAGGCGTCGCGGACTTTTTGCAAGAAGTTACGTCAAGGAAAGACCAGGAACAGTATTGGGCTGACAAGAGGATGCCATACAGATTTATACCTGTCCAGGAGTTCGCGGATGCCTTTCAAAAGTTCCATGTCGGTCAGAACATTGCTGAAGAATTGGCGCGGCCTTTTGACAAGAGTAAAAGCCATCCGGCAGCTCTTGTCACTCAGAAGTACGCTCTTAGTAACTGGGAGCTTTTCAAGGCTCTCTTGGCGCGGGAGATACTTTTGATGAAGAGGAACTCATTCGTCTACGTGTTCAAAGGTTCTCAGGTATGTTATCGAAGACTAAAATCCATATATCTGATACTAAAATTTCCAATGCAGCTGATTCTTCTGGCCTTTATCACGATGACTGTGTTTCTCCGGACCGAAATGCATCACAGAACTGTTGGCGATGGCGGTCTCTACATGGGAGCCTTGTTCTTCGGCCTGATCATCGTCATGTTTAATGGATTTGCGGAGTTGGCGATGACCATTGCGCGCCTTCCAGTATTTTACAAGCAGCGGGACCAGATGCTATTTCCTGCGTGGGCATTTTCTCTTCCTACCTTGATCACTCGAATTCCAGTGTCCCTGCTCGAATCAGCACTTTGGGTGTGCATGACGTACTACGTGGTTGGATTTGCTCCTAGTGCCGCCAGGTTTGTTACATTGATGTCAAGTGAGAAATAGTGTTCATATTTTATGTTTGAGCGTTTCAGGTTCTTCCAGCAGTTCCTCCTCATGTTCTTAATTCATCAAATGTCGGGAGGTCTTTTCCGATTCATTGCTTCACTTTCTCGGACTATGGTTGTAGCGAACACCTTCGGCTCTTTCGCGCTGCTGATAGTTCTTGTCCTCGGTGGTTTTCTTCTTTCTAGAGGTAATCCATTGACTATACTCAGGTAGCACAACTTATAATGGTCTTTAATTTCCAGAGGACATTGAACCTTGGTGGATTTGGGGATATTGGTCGTCGCCCATGATGTACGCACAGAATGCGCTTGCCGTGAACGAGTTCAGTGCATCAAGATGGCAGATTCTCGAAAATGCCAATCAGACCACCACCGTTGGCAACCAAGTTCTAGAGTCTCGAGGCCTGTTCCCCAATAAAAACTGGTATTGGCTTGGAACTGGTGCTCAGTTGGCTTATGCCATTTTCTTCAACGTTTTTTTCACTTTGGCACTCGCTTACTTCAGCGGTACGTAGAAATCTATTTCTTTTCTCCATGTAGGTACTCATTTTTTCTATTTAAACAGCTCCTGGAAACCCGCAGGCCGTAGTGTCTGAGGAAATACTAGAAGAGCAAAACGTGAACCGCACCGGCGAAGTCTCAGAAAGATCAGTGCGTGCAAAATCAAAGCGATCGGGCAGATCTTCTAATGCAGGTAATGGCGCCATCACAAATTTCATTATATGGTCTAACATCGAATGCCAGGAGATCTGGAGCTTACGTCTGGTCGAATGGGTGCCGATTCTAAAAGGGGAATGATACTCCCGTTTCAACCTTTAGCAATGTCATTCAATCATGTTAACTACTACGTTGACATGCCCGCGGTATGCTTTTACGCATTTCCTTTGTAGGATATTGAGTTCTAATGCACTTGTAACAGGAAATGAAGCAACAAGGCGTGACAGAAAATAGATTACAGTTGCTGCACGACGTAAGCAGTAGCTTCAGGCCTGGAGTTCTCACGGCTCTTGTCGGTGTAAGCGGTGCTGGAAAGACAACTCTCATGGATGTTTTAGCCGGGCGTAAAACTGGTGGCTACATTGAAGGCGACATTCGCATCTCCGGCTATCCCAAAAACCAGGCTACTTTTGCTAGGATTTCGGGTTATTGCGAACAAACTGACATTCATTCACCCAACGTTACAGTGTACGAGTCACTGGTTTATTCTGCTTGGCTCCGACTATCGGATGACATTGATAAGGGGACGAAAAAGGTAAGGAGAGAGATGTTTTTCGTAGTCAAATTTGCTAAGGTGAGTTTTGGAACAGATGTTTGTGGAAGAAGTTATGGAGCTTGTAGAGCTTAACCCTCTCCGGGATGCGTTGGTTGGTCTCCCTGGAGTTGATGGACTTTCGACCGAGCAGCGGAAACGACTGACAATTGCCGTGGAGCTCGTTGCAAATCCTTCAATCATTTTCATGGACGAGCCAACTTCCGGACTGGATGCACGAGCGGCAGCAATTGTCATGAGAACGGTCCGGAACACTGTCGACACCGGTCGCACTGTCGTCTGCACCATTCATCAGCCTAGCATTGACATTTTTGAGGCCTTCGATGAGGTACGCGATTATTACCTTGCAAACTCTCTTGAAAACCTGCCTGCTTTCTCCAGCTTCTGTTGATGAAACGCGGAGGGCGCGTTATCTACGCAGGTTCCTTGGGAAAGAACTCGCACAAACTTGTTGAATACTTCCAGGTAAGTCTCTTGCTTTGTTCTTGCAGACTTGAGATGATTTATGTGGATTAATTTCCCCAGGGTATTAGCGGTGTTCCTAACATAAGAGAAGGATACAATCCAGCTACATGGATGTTAGAGGTTACCGCTGCAGACGTGGAGAATCGTCTGGGAGTAGATTTTGCGGACATCTATAAAACTTCTTCAGTCTACCAGTAAGCACACTTGACCATTATCTCTTTCTTGGCTAAACCACTGGTGTGTCTAGGCACAATGAAGCTATTATTACTCAGCTGAGCACTCCGGTTCCCGGCACGGAAGACATATGGTTTCCAACGCAATACCCTCTGTCGTTCCTCGGACAGGTCATGGGATGCTTGTGGAAACAACATCAGTCATACTGGAAAAATCCATACTACGTTCTGGTTCGCATGTTCTTCACCTTGGTTGTCGCGATAATGTTTGGCACAATGTTTTGGGACATCGGCTCCAAAAGGTAAACGCTGTGTAGTTCAATCGAGCGTTGGTTCTGACTCCTGCCTTTCTCTCGTGAGCAGATCAAGAGAACAAGACCTCTTTAATCTGATGGGATCTATATACGCTGCTGTGCTCTTCCTTGGGGTCAGCAATGCATCAGGAGTACAGCCAGTCGTTGCTATCGAGCGAACGGTCTACTATCGAGAAAGAGCCGCTGGAATGTACTCTCCCCTTCCATATGCTTTTGCTCAGGTAAGGCATACATCCGACTCTTCAGATTTCGTTTGACTCATCAAGGAAAACTCCGTGCGTCCAGGTCCTGATCGAGATTCCCTACGTGTTCGTGCAAGCCTTCACGTATGGACTCATTGTGTACGCGACGATGCAGCTGGAATGGACAGCAGCCAAGTTCCTGTGGTTCATCTTCTTCTTGTACATGACGTTCCTCTACTTCACGCTCTACGGCATGGTGACGGTGGCGCTGACACCCAACGACCAGATTGCAGCCATCGTATCCTCGGCATTCTACGCAATCTGGAACCTGTTCTCTGGCTTCATCATCCCTCGACCCGTAAGTTCATGAATTCCACACATTTCTTTTCCGATTTCTTAACACTTTGGTTTGTTTCTTGGTGTCTCTCAGGCGATTCCAGTGTGGTGGAGGTGGTACTACTGGGCCTCGCCACCGGCGTGGTCTCTCTACGGCCTCTTCACGTCTCAGCTTGGAGATGTCACCACGCCGTTGTTCCGGGCCGACGGCGAAGAGACGACCGTGGAGCGCTTCTTGAGGTCCAACTTTGGGTTCAGGCACGACTTCTTGGGCGTCGTGGCCGGAGTTCACGTCGGCCTCGTCGTCGTCTTCGCGGTGTGCTTCGCCATCTGCATCAAAGTTTTCAACTTCCAGAACCGATGATCGATCGACTGGTTTTCGTGGAAGAAATTCTAAAGAACGAAGAAACTCGGTGCTGCCCCCATAACGTTAGCACAACATTTTTTACAATGAAGAGAATGTACAGTTTTCTTTGTATTATATAACCAGCCAAAAGGCTGGGGTTTTTTTTTTTCGAATGTGTACTTTTAGAATATTCCGCCTCACGCCACGAAATTAGGGCTGGCAGGGGGAATCGAAACGCGGAGGAGCGAGAAGAAGGGGTTGAAACCCTCTGGGCATTCTCGTGTTCTTGATGGTTTGGGGACTTCTCCAGGAGGCGGTGGCTGCCAGGGCGCCCTAGCGCGTGAAGGATCGATTTTGGGAGCTCGGGCGGCATGGCATGGCGTCAGTTGCTGGAGAAGGTATGGCGCTCTCTTTCCTCTCTCCCATTAGGGCTGCGCCCGCGCTGATTGCCCGCGGATTTCGACCACAGGGAGGCTCCTCCGCCACGCAGATGGTGTCGGCGACATCCTTGTATGGGCTGGGACGCGCGATTGTGTTGAAGCAGCTGGATGCAGGCATTTTTCTATCCGATTTCCCTCGTCCTCTTCCCGTTGCTAATGATGCTTGAATTTCGGATGGCGCAGGGATCGTGTTGAATCGCCTCAAGAGACGCTGCATGTCGAGCTACACAAGCAATTTCTCGAGAAGGCTGGAGCAGCTGGAGAGAGAAGGAGGGCCCGATGCTCAGGAGAAACAAGTGAAGTTTCTAAGAGATCTTAACAAGGTGGATCCCGAGGGAGTGATTTGGTGGTTCGAGAGTAGACCACTTCCGCAGCACAGCGCCGGTGCTTTGGCCGAGTATCTCAAAGCTCTCGTCAAGGTCGATAGGCTCGATGACAGTGCCTTGTTGAAAACGCTGCAAAGAGGTAAACGCTGTAACTCTTTCTTTATCGGATCTGATCCTCTTTTTTTTTGTTTTAACCGTGTAGGAGCAACTGCATCGCTAGGAAGTTTTCAAGCTGAGGCGCGACCGATCATGTCTTCGGCGTTTCCGGCAGTAGGAACAGCCACGAAAGACGGAATTTTGGGCTCTCCCAGTGCGCCAATCCACATGGTCACGTCCGAAGGAGGTTTTAGAGTTCAAGTGTGGCGAACTGTTCGAACCTTGGCTCTGGGCTTTCTACTTCTCTCTGGCGTTGGGGCCATTATCGAGGACAAGGGCCTCAGCAAAGGTAAGCATCGTAGAGCATGGCTTGCAATGCATGGATGCGTTTGTTTTAAGGTCTTGCCTACGTGTTGAACTGGCATCCTTGTCTGTATAGGAAAGGAGGTCTTACTCACGCCCCTGGTTCCTGGCAGGGCTGGGTCTCAATGAGGAGGTACAGCCAAGCTTGGAGTCTAACACCAAGTTCAGTGACGTGAAAGGAGTCGACGAAGCCAAAGCGGAGTTGGAGGAGATTGTTCACTATCTTCGGGATCCAAAGGTCATTGCTTTATCTATTTTTCTTTCGTGTTTCTCCGGTTTGTAACTCCAGTCTCGGTTGCTTCTTTGCAGAAATTTACCCGTTTAGGTGGCAAGCTACCGAAAGGCGTCCTTCTGGTTGGGCCTCCTGGGACAGGAAAGACGATGCTGGCTCGGGCAATTGCTGGTGAAGCAGGGGTACCGTTTTTCTATTGCAGCGGGAGCGAGTTCGAGGAAATGTTCGTCGGAGTTGGTGCTCGGCGAGTGCGGGACTTATTCGCAGCTGCGAAGAAGCGCTCGCCATGCATAATCTTTATGGACGAAATTGATGCAATAGGTGGGAGCCGAAATCCCAAGGACCAACAGTACATGAAGATGACACTGAACCAGCTGTTGGTGGAGCTGGACGGTTTCAAGCAAAACGAAGGCATCATAGTGATCGCGGCTACGAACTTCCCCGAATCTCTCGACAAGGCGCTTGTCCGTCCTGGTCGGTTCGATCGGCATGTGGTGGTTCCAAATCCAGACGTGGAAGGCCGCAGGCAAATTCTAGATTCTCACATGACCAAGGTAGAATTCAATCTTTGCTGATTCTCTTGTTAAATCTTGTTCTTTCCAGGTTCCTAAAAACGAGGATGTGGATTTGTCGATCATAGCGAGAGGCACTCCGGGCTTCTCTGGTGCGGATCTCGCGAACTTGGTGAACGTAGCAGCTCTTAAAGCAGCCATGGATGGTCAGAAGAATGTGGGGATGGAGGACCTCGAGTACGCCAAGGACAAGATCATGATGGGAAGTGAAAGGAAGTCGGCCGTGATCTCAGAAGAATCCCGGCAGCTCACAGCTTACCACGAAGGCGGTCATGCGCTAGTGGCGATCCACACGGACGGCGCTCTCCCCGTCCACAAAGCCACTATCGTCCCGCGGGGAATGGCACTGGGAATGGTCGCGCAGCTGCCAGACAAGGACGAGACGAGCTTCTCGCGGAAGCAGATGCTGGCAAGGCTGGACGTTTGCATGGGGGGAAGGGTGGCGGAGGAGCTCATCTTCGGGGAGAACGAGGTCACGTCGGGGGCGGCCTCGGACATAAAGTCGGCGACTCGGCTGGCCCGCGAGATGGTCACCAAGTACGGCATGAGCAAGGAGGTGGGGGTCGTGTCCCACAACTACGAAGACGACGGCAAGAACATGAGCACGGAGACGAGGCTGCTGGTCGAGAACGAGGTCCGGGAGCTGCTCCAACGGGCCTACGACAATGCAAAGACGATCCTTACCACGCACCAGCGCGAGCTTCACGCGCTAGCGAAGGCCCTCCTGGAACGCGAGACGCTAACGGGGTTGCAGATCAAGGCACTGCTCGCTCAAGTGAGCTCCCAGGGAGCTCCGCTGCCAACTCCACTGCCAACTCCACCCGCGCTCGTCCCCACTCCTCCACAGTCGGCAGCAGCGGCGGCAGCAGCAGCAGCGGCTGCTGCGGCGGCGGCGGCAGCGGCAGCGAAGGCCAAGACTGTACCGGCCGGGACTTGACAAAGCACTGCTACAACCAAGAACGAAAGAGAAAAGCCGGGAGGAAAGACAAGAGGTTTGCGATTCAAAAGCTTTCTTTGTTTTTTCTTTCTTTGTAAATCTTTTTGATGGGCTTTTTGATGGATGGATCTCAGCTAGCAAAACATGTGGGGAAGGATGAAATGAATGTAACTGGTGCACCAAGCAAACCACAGTTCTGTGGTCAGTTTTTCTAAATTTTTCTCTCCCGAAGTGTTAATTCTTTGTTTACTATTTTTTTCGATCGTTTTTAACTACAAGTGCTGCTGTTCTTGGCATGTCCCCCCATTTTTCTTTTTCCTCGCTTTTGTTGTAGTTGGTGGGCGGACGGTGCGTTCACAGCTTTGGTGTGTCGTATTCCATTTTCAGACATCCAGGTCGAATTTTGTGAATTTGGACTGGTGAGCTGAAATTTCTCTCTTTTTCCTTGTCGCCAATTGTTGCAGGCTCAGGTGTGATTTGGGAGATCAATTGGTCAGGAGCTTTTGGTATGGGTCAGCTCCAAGGTATGCTTTTTGGCTATTTTCTCTCGCATAGAAATGGAGCTTTTGCCTTGCAGCGAAGGAGCTGCAAGTGCAAGGCATCATAGATCGGGTCTTTGACCACTTCACGGCACACAATGGCAACGATTTCATCTCCTTCCAGGAGCTCTACACCGCCATTCTGCTCGTGTACAAGTAAGTCAATTCATCTCTATCGGTATCAAAATCCACTCACAATACACACGCAGCGATATAAACAAGCATTTTCCGGGTCCCCATTACGACCCGCCAGCCAGGGAAGAGGTGCAAGAGATGCTCGATGTGAGTGATTCGAACTCTTCTCTTAATCGCTAAAAAGCACACTGTTACAGCTATACGACACGAATCGAAACGGCGTTCTGGACCGCAAGGAGTTCATGGGCTTTGTGGAGAAGTTCACAGGGAACCTGGCGATGCGTCTAAGTAAGAACATCCTCATCTTCTCCATCGCGGCGCCGTGCCTTGCACTCCTCACAAAGTCGGCCACCGAGCGAGTTCCCGGAGTCGGCCCAGTGGTGAAGAAAATCCCCAGCGCGCTCTACGCATCGCTCATCACCACCGCGGTGGCAGTGGTAAGCAAAGTCAACGACAGCGCGTAGAGAAAAAAGCTCGAGTGCTTCTTCTATGCAAAGATAATAAATACCAAGAAGAAAGATCTATATGACCGGGCAACCCGGGACGACGATCCCGGGATACGTGGGACACCTCGCGAGCGGGCAGTGACTATCGTTCCCCCACCACGTAACGCTGGTGCCGTTCATCTGGAGCGCGAAGTAGAGCAAGACGCCCATGAACGCGACGCCGGCGTCCAGCGCGGCCGATAGAACGTAGTTGTATCGCTGCCACCACCTCCTGCGATACGTGTAGACGAAATAGTTGAAGAAGAGGCCGACGCTGGTCCAGGAGATGTAGTTCACGGCCGAGGCCGGGGGCATCATCGAGGTGGCGCCCAAGATCACGGGGAGGTTGATGTAGCTCAGCCACCGTGCGCGAGGGAAGGCCTTGGTGAGCAGCCACAGGACGACCGGAGCTAGAGCTCCCACCAGGAAGAACCAGGAGAGCTCCGAGTAGTTTCCTAGGCTGCCGAAGATCCGCTTGGGGCCGATGAGCCCCCAGATGACCGAGGCGCTGTAGAAGACGCTGTCGTTCGGGCACGTCCAGGGGCTGTCCGCCGGGAGCTTGTCCGTGTCGCAGATGTTTTCGACGCTGGTGAGCATCCACCATGCCGTGGCAACGTTCACGACTGCCGCTACGATGGTGCCGAGGACCTTGGTGAGAAAAAGAGGGCAATGTTTACAGTTGGAGAACTTGAAATGCGTTTTCTATGATATCATACCTGGACAGCAAACATTGATCTCGGCGGGACTTTCATGTAATGGCCAAGCTTGAAGTCTTGCAGGAACGAGATGGCCTGGGTCATGCTGATATAACCGTAAGTCTTGAAGCACACGTTGGCAATTGGCTTGCCCGGTAGCATATATCCAATTATGTACTCGGTGATCACGTTCAAGCCTGGAGTCTGCGAAGCTGCTGAGGAAAGAAATAAAAAAACTCGAAAAAACTTACAATGTTGGTTGTAGCGGTGATAATACCAATTGGTAAGGTGAAGACGATCGCGAGCGCGCAAGCCAGGAGAACCCCCCACCACGGAAGTTGCAATTGGTGCTTAAAACCGACGCAAGTACCGACGGCAACGGCGATTGATAAGAACATAAGAACAACAAACCATTTGTATGGTATTGTTGGATACTTTTTCATCAGCCGCGTATGAATGTCGGGTTTCTCGTTTAGAACAGATCTGCTTCTCTGCCAAATCTCTCTGGAAAGAAATAGTAAGATAACAAAAAAAGGAAAATAAAGAAAAAAAAATGCTTCGTGACTTACTTTCCATGAAAGCAAATAATATGGGTGATCACAGAAGCGACGCTGGCAAAACCAAGGCCATAAGCCATCGCGAAAAAGGTGCTCAAATGAACCTCCCCTTGCTCTTTGTAGGCAGCCATGTCAATCTCGAAGTTTTCATTGACAATCTTGTGGACGTTGTAAGGCGTTCCATTCCCCTGGAAGAGCTTGCTACTGAAGATTGGAAACTTCTTAGCATCGTAGACGTTTGTCCAGTAAAACGCTGGAATCACGATATAAACCATAATAATAAAACCAGCCAGCACGTTTGCAATTGGAACCCATGGAGTTATTAGCGGGCTCTGTAGAAACGATTGAAATGTGGACCAATCCAAGGCAAACGAGCCAAGTCCAAGACCATTTAAGCCAGAGCCAAGCTGCTGTGCCAATACTGAACGTGGAAAGGCCCAGCATACCCATGACACTGAGGTGAGTGCCGTGAACATATAACCGGGGATAATATAGTAAGCAAAGCTGACTGCCAGAACAATAAGAAAAAACTTAAGACGCGATAAGCCCTTCTTGCTCTCCTTCTCGTGTAGAGTCCTTTTGCAACAGCACGGAAAAAATCAGAATAAAAGAAAAACTCTGAAAAACGTACTCGAAAAGTGAGACTTGAACGAGATTTGCAGGCCACCACATATTTGCGGGCTCAACCAAATGCTTTCGAAGCAGTCCCGCCCATCCATACCCAAGCACCTAAGTAAACGAATACATGGTTGATGCTAGACGGAAACTAGAAAACAAACTTCGAGCTTACCTGAGTCGTAATAACGAGCAGGAGAGCTGCATGGAAGTAAATTTTCCTCTTGTAAAACGCTTTGATAATGTCAACAATGGAGACTCCATAAGAGGTTCCATTGCCAAATGCAAAGCCCGAGTTTGCGAAGACAGTGATAAGAACGTGTTCCTTCTTGTTAAATGGCCCCGGGTTCAGAGTGAAGTGAAAGTTTGTGAGAGGCAGCCGATAAACTGTCTTTGGAAGCGTTGCAGCCATAAGGCGACCAATCGCAACAGCCAAGATCTGGCCAGAGAGCGCTGAAACTGTCAGTGGCTCTTTTCTGTAGTAGAAGAACTGGTTGACGAAGGAAAGCACTATACAAAAGAAAAGGCCGATTGTCCACATTCTAAAAGTCCAAACCGGAACCGCTGGATCATCACTTGTGCTTACTGTCATTGCCACCTGATCGATTGGAGATTGCTCGTCATCCCCAGTATCACGTTCATCCATTGGCAAGTCACCAAGAGCTACTAACTCCACACCAGCACCGGCCATGTTGTGAGATCTAAAGAATCCTGCAGTTCTTTTTTATCCGAATTAGGCACAAAAGAACCTTTTTTGGCAGTCGTTTTAAACTTTAAAGAATAGCAAAACTAGCACATATAAGAATACCAACACAAACACAAGAATAACCTGGCCATGCACAAAACAAGAGATCAGGGGACAGGAAACATCAAAAGGAGATCTACGACTTACGTACCAGGAAACTTCTCTTTGCAGAGATAGCGCCAGTTTCAATTGTGTAATTCTTCCTGTGTGAAATGAAGTGATAAATGAGATAAATGAGCTGGATTTTTATTTACCTGCTGGATGACAAGCCATACTGTCGACAAGCCTTGAATATATTCTCTACACGTTCGGCAGCGATCAAAGCCGACGGATCGTTCTTATTTATCTGTAAATGACGAATTCTAAACTTAGTCAAGCAAGAAGAAACTATGTAGTGAACCTTTGACGCCAGAATACTCGCGAAGTCATAAAATGCTCCACAGACGTCAGCCATGTTATTCGTTGTCACTATTATTTTCGCGGTTGTCCCTGAAACAGAAGAGTAAAATCGATTTCTGGTGATAAGACAGCACGCAAGACTAACCACGCCGTATCTTCACAACCCCTCTAAAAACTTGAGGATTATTGTAGCACACTGCCGCAGTAGCTATAGCCATGACCTGCCAAAAACTCAGACCTGTTATCAAGTGGAAGACAGAAAGCAATTTACCTGTGGCACAGCGCAAAACCGAAACACTGAAGGATTTTTAAGCTTGGACATGTAGAAAAGACACTCTGGCGCGTGTCTAAGGCAGTCGGTAATCATGTCGTTTAGGCATTCAACAGCTTCCTTCTCGTTGCTCTCGTCTCTAAAGTCCTGCTCAGAGGCCACAACCATCTTCTTTATAGAACCGTATGCATTGCCGTGTACATACCGAAAGGAGAGAAGTCGGAGCATACTTTCCCCAGATTTCACGGGGCCAAAACATACGAGGGGCTGGAAGCTCGTTGATGTCTTCCAGGTAATCTCTTATTATGTTGACTTTCTGCAAGCCAGCAAAGTTAGACTCGCAACTAAATAAACCACGTTTACCTGCAAGAATCGGCCCATTGAAATTGCAGGGTACTCGGGAACTAATGATTGGTCATTATCAGGTTCTATAAGTCTCTGATCCAGGTCTTCAAGTCGTGAAGAGTTGAAAAGATGTGACAAGCCAACTCCAACTAAACCCGCCACATAATAGCAGTACTTGTCATAATCCGATACTGTAACGACCTGCCGTAACAAAATCTTAGCTTGAGACAAGAGGAAAGATGAAACTACCTCTTTCCGAATAAACTCAGCCATCCCATATCCCATCCTTTTCGTAATATCGCTGATAACACACTGGTATCTGCAAGTGGATCTTGGTAAAAAAACCAACGAAGAAGAGAGAGAAAAAAAGGAATCCCATTACTCCTTGGACAGCTGAAGAAACGCAAGAGACAGGTGATTGAAGTTCTTCATGAGCTCCCTGCAATGCTTTTCTCCACCTAAACGCAATAAGAGAGTGAGAGTTAACAACAATATAAAAATTCCACTTACAAACGAATCGCCAAGATGGATCCTCCAAGTGTTTGTAGAATTCCTCCAGCACAGTAGTCTTCGTTTCCACGGGAATGCTCATATCATCCTCTAGAAAAGAACGCCGCAAGTCAGAAATAAACAGAATATCCAGGCATCACTCACCAACAGTATCCAGCGCACGTAACACCACATAGAAAATGCACACCTGGAAGAAAGGGGGGAAAAAAGGAATAAAATCAATCGCCTCGAGCAATGCAAGGAATCTCAGCGAAGCATTGCTTCCCCCTCTCATCAATCCACTCACCGCATCGCGAATCTCCTGATTCAGGTGCTGGACGACAACCGCGAAGCTCCTGGAGACGAGCAGCAAGATCCGGTAGCAGTAGGCCATGTGTGGATCCGCCGGGAATGCATGAGCAGCGCGCGCAGCTGCGAGCTTCATCTGCAAGAGCGCCGGCAGCTCGCCGGGATGCCGGATCAGCGCCTCCACCATCCCCATAGCTCCGCGATCTAAGCCCTAAAACAAAACATTTGGAAGATAGAAGTTAAATGGGGGTATATAAGATCTTTACAAGGCATGAAAGAATAAAAGCTGGAAGAAGCTCAAAGAACCATCGATGGAGGCTGGAAGAACCATCGATGAAAGCTGGAAGAGCCATCCACGGAAGCTGGAAGAACCATCGTCTCTTTCACGATGCGCTGAGAGGACAATCGCTACTGCGAGCTCCTTTGGCAGCCGGGCACGACGCTAGCGGGCAATTATCCACGTCCTGCCCCCACCAAGCGAGCTCCATTCGATCTTCCCTCGTCGCAAAGTAGAGGAAGATCCCCATGAACGCCAGCCCGGCGTCCATAGCCGCGGAGAGCACGTAGTTATACCGCGTCCACCACTTCTTCCGGTGCTTGAAGATTAAGTAGTTGAAGATGAATCCCACCACGAACCAGCTCGTGTAGTTCACGGACGTCGCCGGCGGCATGTTTCCAGTGGCGCCGATGAGGATGGGCATGTTGACGTAGCGGATCCAGCGCTGGCGAGGGAAGGCCTTGGCGGCCAGCCAGACGAGCAGCGGCGCCACCGCCCCGACCAGGAAGAACCAGTTGATCGCCTGGTAGTGGCCGAGGGAGCCGAAGATCCGATTGGGACCGATGAGGCCCCAGATGACCGAGGCGCTGAAGAAGACGCGGTCGCTCGGGCACGTCCAGGGGCTGCCTTGCGGGAGTTTGTCGGTGTGGCAGATGTTGTCCACGGACGTGAGGAGCCACCAGGCGGTGCCTAAGTTGACGAGCGCCGCCACCGCGGTCCCGATGATCTGGTAGCAACGCAAGAGTGGAAGTTAAATGGTATCGTTCGTTTCTCTAGAGAGCAAAGTTACCTGGACCGTGAACATCGAGCGAGGAGGGATCTTCATGTAGTGCCCGAGCTTGAAGTCCGCCAGGAAGGTGATCGCTTGGAGCATGCTTATGTAGCCGTAAGTCTTGAAGCAAACGTTCGCGACGGGGCGTCCGGGGTACATGTAGCCGATGATGAACTCCGTGATCACGTTGAGGCCAGGAGTCTGGAACGTTTTCCTGGTCAGAAAATCCTCGAAAACTTGAATGCTTTTACCTGGTTTGTCGTTGCCGTGATCACCCCGATCGGCAGCGTGAAGACGAACGCAAGGCCGCAGGCCAGGAGGACTCCCCACCACGGCAGCTGAACTTGGTCTTTGAAAACCACGCAAGTGATGATGGATCCGAAGATGGAGAGCGCCAACAGCGCCAGAAACCACCACTGCGGACACGGCTTGTACTTGCGCATCAATCTCGTATGGACGTCGAGTTTCTCAGCGTGGAAAGCAGCCACGGCCCGACTCCACATCTCCCTGCGAAGAGATCACAAAAACTCCGGTCAGTTTCATTCCATCAATCCAGAAAACTTACTTCCCATGGAAGAGCACCACATGAGACACCGTCGCGGTGAGCGCGGCAAATCCCACACCGTAAGTGAAGACGAAGAAAGTGCTGAGGTTGAGCTTGCTGTAGCTGTTATACGCCTGGACGTCGAGCTCAAACCTCTCGTTCACCACCCGGGAGATGTTATACCGCGATCCATCGTCGGCAAACAGCTGACTGGAGAAGATCGGGAACGTCTTCGCACTGTAGACGTTGCTAAAGTACGCTGCGGGGGTGATGACATACATGACGATGAGAAACCCGACCATGACGTTGGCGATGGCAAACCACGGAGTCGCCAGCGGGCTGGAGAGATACGAGGCCACCGTCGACCAGTCGAAACCGACGGCTCCAATCCCCATGCCGCTCATTCCAGACCCGAGCTGGTGTGCCAAGACCGACTTCGGCCAGGCCCAGCACACCCACGAGATGGACGTCAGCGTCTTGAAGAGGTAACCGGGTAGCGAGTAGTAGAGGAAGCTGCAAGCCAGGGTGATGAGAAAGAACTGCAACCTGGTAACGTCGCCTTTCCGCCGGCTGTCCTTCTCGTGGAGCGTACTAGTGCAAGCAAAATCGACTGTTTCAGCGACCGCAAGAGAACAAAGAACACGACGGCGCACTTACTTGAAGATGGAGACTTGGACCAGATTGGAGGGCCACCACATCTCGGCGGGATCCACCAGGTAGCGTCGAAAGATCCCGGCCCAGCCATATCCAGTGATCTAAGAAGATCAAAGCATCAAAGCACTCAAAGGTCAACCAAGGCTCGGAAAAGAACGAAGAACAACGGAGAGAAAGAGATCTAGATCTAGAGTCTGGGACTGTGAGAAGACTTTCGATCCAAGGAGGAGCTTGCCTGAGTGGTGAGAGTGATGAGGAGCGCGACGACGAAGCTGAGCTCTCGGCCATAGAAGGCCTTGACAATGTTGACAATGCCAATGGCGTAGGCGCCGCCGGCTCCAGCGTTGGCGAAGATGGTGATGAGGACGTGCTCCTTGACGTTGAAGGGGCCGGGATTGAGCGAGAAGGAGCGGCCGAGGAGGCGGAGCTGGGCGGAGGGGAGCGCCGCCGCCATGAGGCGGCCCAGCGGCAGCGCGGCGATCTGGGCGGAGATGACGCCCACCGTCAGCGGCTCGGTGCGGTAGGAGAAGAACTGGTTGATGAATGCGAGCAGCGCGCACGAGAGGAGGCCCAGCGTCCACATCCGGAACGTGTAAACCGGCAGGGACGCGTCGTCCGTGGTTGGAACCGTGAGCGCGACCTCCTCGATCGGAGATTGCTCCTCCTCCGACAGTTTGTCTCCGTTCTTGCGATCATCGTCTCGCGCTGCTGCTGGATCATCGTCGCGAGGAATGTCGCTGCCCGGACCAGCGGCGGCCATGCTGAGATCTGTGAGGAGCAATTCAACTGTCACGGAAGGAGGATGGAGTCACGGAACAAGGATGGAAGTCACGGACTTACCTTTTTCGAGCGCTAATTAGGTCAACGCATTTCTCTCTCATTTGATCTATCTAGGGTTGCGCGCTGCTCTTGAAAGATCCTCCGGAGACGCAAGGCTTTCTCGTAGAGCTTGACGTCCAATCCATCCACATTGCGCGCGACTCTGGCCCGGAGCATCATCCCGTTCTGGGCGATCAAAATCACGGTCGAGAGCGTTAACGAAGGCTAGAAAACCTCGGCTAGAAAACCTGGAGCAAGAGCTCTCCGATGAACTGGTAGAGCGAGCCCGGGCGGAGGTGGATGTCGCGCAGCAGCGTCGTGTCCACCGCGAGCTTGGCTCCCTCGTGGCGAATGTGGGCGACGCCAGACTCCACATCGAAGCTTTCGAGCCTGTGACGAACGAACGATCAATCTCGAGAGATGCGAAGAAGAGAAAGAAAGACAACGCGGGCCTTACGTTCCCATGACGCGCAGCGATTTCATGTGGCGGCAAAAGGGCGATCCTGGCTCCAGCAGCTCCGGCAGCTGCACGATCGTCCCGGCCTCCATAAGAGTTCTTGATCGGAAGAACCCTAAATATTGACACGAGAATTCCATTTTCGCTAAGCTCTTGCCTTGCACAAGTTGGAAACCAACACGTATGCCGAAGAATCATCGGGGTTTAGCTCGGGAAGCACCCTCATCCCTTGCTTCATGTCCTCCTGGAGCTTGCAAGCCCCCAGCAAACTGTTCCACAGGTTCTGGTCCTCGCAAAAGGGCATGTTTCGTATCAGGTCCTCGGCGCTCTTGAGCTGCCCCGTCCTTGCAAACACATCGATCAAGCAGCCATAGTGCTCCACGCTCGCACGGATCCCATAGTCGAGCAGCATAGACACGAAGTAGCTCCTGCATTGCTCCACAAGGCCTGCATGGGTGCAAGCCACGAGAACTCCTCCGAAAACAACATCGTCCGGCCACAAATCCCCCATTACCATCTCTCCGAAAACTTCTAGAGCCTCCAAGCAGTGTCCATTAAGGGCGTATGCTGCCACCATTGTGGTCCACGAAACAAGCGATCTGCTAGGCATTCTATCGAAAAGCATTCTCGCCTCTAGAAGCTGGCCCTTTTTCCCGTAAGCCTCCACCATAATCGTCCACGAGAATGCATTTGATTCCGGCATGGAGTTAAAGATCGCTCTGGCTTGCTCCAGTTCCCAATGCTCGGCATACGCTGCAAGCATGGCAGTCCACGAAACAACGTTGCGTTCCGGCATGGTGTCAAAGAAGCGCCTTGCCTCATCAAGATGGCCATGTCGGGAATACGCATCCAGCATGGCAGTCCACAAAACAATGTTAGGAAGCCACCTTACGGAGTCAAACAATGCCCGAGCTTCCTCCAGATGCCCGGCTTGGGCATATGCAGTCACAAGGCTCGTCCACGAAATAATGTCTGGATCTGGAAGAATATCAAAACAAACCTTGGCTTGTTTCAGATCCTTGCATTGCCCATAGCCGACGATCATTGAGTTCAAAGCCACTGCGTCCCTCTCCGGTGTTTGCTCAAGAAACACCCTCGCTTGGTCCAGCTTCCCGTTGTGAGCACAAGCTGTGATCACCGCATTCCAAGATATTAGGTTTCGCATCGGCATTCGATCAAAGAGATCGACCGCCTCGTCTACACGCCCGTTGTGGGCATAGCCTGAGATCATAGCGTTCCATGACACCACATCTGTGAATGGAGCCGTGGTAAAGAGAGCGATGGCTTCGTCGAGATTCCCACTCTGAGCTTCCAGTGTAATCATTGCATTCCAGGAGATGACATTTGGAAAGGGTATCCGATGAAAGAACCGCTTGGCATCTTCAATATACCCATTCTGGGCATATGCTGCCACCATGATGTTCCATGAGAAGGTGTTGGGCTCTTCGATACTTTCAAAGGCACGCCGAGCCTCCTCAATGCTGCCACACTTTCCATACATCTCCACGACTATGTTCGCGAGGTAGCGATCCTGGCGGTGCGAGGAGTCGAGGATGAGACGATGAACTCGCCTGGCTTGTGCTAAGTCACGAGCGGCGGCGCAGGATCTCAAGAGCTGGGCGTAAAAATACACATCCGATTCATGACTATTGGTATTTGAGATCCAATTTTTGCCATTTTCTATTGCTCGCATCTGAGATCAATCACCGCACTACATCCTGGGAGGCAAAACTTGTCCTCAACAAAATGCCCACTCTAGGCATATGCTCGGCTTGTCAAGCCCATACCAGTGACTTGGAATTCAGACTTGGTACTTATTGTACGAACAAGAGACTATTTCTCTCCCATTTTACTAAGCGTTTTTGCGAGCTCGAGGAGTAAGAACTAGCATAGTAGCTCCTGTAAACTATGCGGCGCTGCTATAAACTAGCTCCATCCTGGACCCCTTTCTAGCCTCATAATTCTCTTTTGACTAGCATCCGACGGCTGGCATGCAATGCCGGACTACCATCCGACGGCTGGCATCTGGACCACCATCCGACGGCTGGAATGCGACCATTTTCTCTAAAGGTATATAGATGATCAATGGTTTCATAATTTATAAAAGAGAGGGAGAGAAAAGAAACTGGATTGATAGGGAGAGGACGTCTGCCCAGATTCGTAAAATATATTCGTGCACAGACAGTAAAAATTGATCGAATCTAGCTCTCCTGTCTTTTAGCTCAGTGGTACTTCCTGGAGAGACCTGAAAGAAAAAAACCTCTCTAGGCTTTTGTGTAGAGATGGATCCTGCTTTTGTTCTTTTCAATCCAGCTCCAGCTTGCTTGGAGTGGGAGGTAATCCACCGCTCGGCCTTTGCTTCGGGGAGGATGATCCCCCGGAGCTCCCGAGTTTGAGATCGAGCCATGACAATGCCGGGGAAGATGGAGCTGCTCCCCGCGATGAGATTGATGGCGAGGGTGTCGAAGGCCGATGAGGAAGTGGCGGGAGTGGGAAGATGGAGGAGCTCGGCACGGAGAAATTGGTGCGAGCTTTGGCGCCGCGGAGCTTGCGAGCGGCGGCGTCGTAGGCGCGGGCGGCGTCCTCGGGCGTGTCGAACGTCCCGAGCCAGTGGCGGCATCGCCCAATTCGGTCGCGGATCTCCGCGGACCATCGCCCCCACGGCCTCTTCCTCACTCCACGAAACGCCCTGGGCGAGCTGGAAATGGAGGAGGAGCTCGCGCCGGCGGGGGCGCTGGAGCTCTTCTCCGGTGGAGGAGACGATGAAGAGCTCGACGCGATCGCGAGCGGCGCAATCTCGAGCAGCGGCGGGACCTGCATTCTCCGATCACAGCTCAATGCCTGTGATGATCCATCGCCATTGCCAGCATTCAAAGCACTCACAGAGGAAGAAGAAGAAGCTCCTCCAAAGAGCGCCCTTTGCCCAACAACAGCAGCAATTCCATCCAAATCCTTGACGCTCGCTGTGCTCAAGCTCGGCCACTGCGCCATCATCGCCAGCTCCATAGCCGGCGATGCCACATCTTCCTCCTTGCAGAGCGGTGGCGAGGAGGGGCGATCGAGAGAGGCAAGAGCTGGCATCATATCGAAAAACATCGATCGAGGAACACAAAAACACACCCTTAAGATAAAACTACAAATGGGCAGCTATCAGAATATGCCCTACCTGACGGAATGTTTTCTGGCGCCAAACGATTATTTTACTTACCCGGGATAAGTTCAGTTAATCGCTGGCAAAACATGCCAAGCAAGAAATCCAAATCTCAATCCCCGGAGAGCCGTACATCTCGTCCACATTGTCCGGTTTATGACCGGTCTTACCTAGCTAGCCAGTGAGAAGGTAAAGTTGCCTCTCACGTGGTAAATATCATGTCCAAGTTACCGGTGCCCGTGGATATTTAATCGCCTAGTTAGTAGCTCTCTAGTCAGGCCGGCCACTAGCGACGATCCACGGTGACAAGCAAGCCAGGTGATTCCACGTGTACGGCGGGCAAGGGAAATGATAAGCGCACGGGCTTTATTAAAAAGGTTTAAGCTGCTAACATGAGCGTTTGCCTGACTCCCTCGTCAAACGGCGTCAAGCAAATGCCCAGCGTTGACCGAAGCTTTTCCACGTCCATGGAGATATCCGCGGGGCTGGCCACTCCTCGATCGACCTGGAAGAGAAAGAGGGACCGAGAGAAGATCAAGCAAGAAATTCTATGGAAGCGTTTACCGAGCTAGCCGGAACTTGATTGATCAAAGAAGGGTGGTAGCCTTTCACTCGAGCCACGACTTGAGCCATCTCCGCGCGAGAGAGTCTCTCGGGGCCTCCGAGATTGAGCACTAGTTGCATTGCTCCTCCACTTTGCTCTGTGATAAGATTGGAATCCAACAAGGAGATCATTAGAAGGAAGCTTTTGGAGGAAACTCGCTTTCTTTCTTACCGGACAGGGTAATGAGAAGCGCCACCACCTTGACGACGTCTCCGATGAAGATCGGGCACCGGTACTCGTCGTGGAAGAAATCCACAGGCTTTCTCGCAGAGAGGGCCATGTCCATCCACTGGAAACGAGAGAAAGAGCGTGAGAGACTAAGGCGTACGTCTTACGTACCTGGACTGGGAGAGGCTTCTGTACGTGGACGACTGGCTGCGGCCCGTAGATTATACTGCTCCGGAGGATGGCATAATTCCTCCAAGTCGATCGAATCAGAAACTCGGCCTCCACCTTGGACAGGCCGTAGACGTTCACTGGCTTTGTCTCGTCGGTCTCAACGTAGAACTGCTTGATCCCCTCGTACACTGGAGCAAGAACACAAAAGTTTTGGAAAAACTTTGGAGGCCTTTTACCTTGATCCGTGGAGAAGTGAACGAGCAGTGGCGGAGCCCCAGTTTGTAGAGACGCTAGATAGCGAAGTAGCGCGCGAGGGACATTGACCGCCATGGCCTTTTGTGGATTCTCTTCGCAGTCCCGCGGCACGGACATGGCTGCACAGTTTACAACGACTCTCGGCTGAAAGGGCGAGAGAAGGATATCAATATATCGATCGATCCAAAGAAGCGAACTTACATGAACCGAGAGGGCCAGATCTTGGAGCCCTTGTCCCGTCGTGAGATCCACGCGGTATCCAACGCCCAGTTGCTCCGAGAGTGGTGGAGGATGAGAGTTGTACGTGTAAGCGATGTTCTCCGGAGAGTATCTGGCCGCCAGAGCCTTGAGAAGATGGAGCCCCACATAGCCGGAGCCACCGACGACTAGCACCGCCATTCACTCGAGATCACTGATTAAAAATTCCAGCTTTTGATAACCAGCGCTTCCAGATCTGGAGAACCAGATTTCCTTAGTTTACCTTAGTTTACGCTGATTATCATGCAATCTAGCTCGTACAAGCATGCGTCTCTCGACGAGCATCCTGGTACTATAAAGGGAGAAGAAGAAAAAAAAAACACTCCACCAATGCAAAGGAATTCAATTTTACCTCGTCCTGGCAGTGAAAATCGAAGTGAAAGCTTTTCAAGCGAAGCGAATCCATGCACGGGACATACGAAACGCCTTTCTCCATGACCTGGAAAGAAGAAGAAAAATTCTACAGTGATTTTTATTTTCTACAGAGAAGCTTTTACCTCTTGGAAACTCCCTAGCGATGAGCTAGCACGCACAATTGGCGTGGTTCCAGAACCATACGTACTTATTCACAGCGCCCCCTGGCGTTTGCCCTTCCGTCAAAGCCAATAAAACAAGGAAGAGAGAACTTACTTCCTGTAGGTTAGTCACATTGCCCCGAAGGAATGTAGCTCCTCTCAAGCAAGATCTCCAAGCGAAGAACACGGAACCCCCAGCGGCGCCATCGCTGGCCGAGAAATGGGGCAACGTACAAGAGAAACCCTGGCAGCAAATCTGCACATTCACTTGGTTCTATGGTGTAGTGGTTAGCACTCTGGACTTTGAATCCAGCGACCTGGGTTCGAATCCCGGTAGGACCTTTTCTTTCCAGTGGCCAGAGCAAGAGATTTACGATGCCAAGTTCAGACAAGACAATGTAGCCGTCACTGGTTTTACATTTTCGTTTCTTCAGTAGCACGAATTTACGCTTCCGAGTTCACACAAGACGGTGGAGTGATCTCTCGTTTTACTTTTTACTTTTTCGTTTCTTCGGTAGCACTGCTCAAGTAGGCCTCAAGTAGAAAAGCAAAAAAGAGAATCTGAGTCACTGAGCTCGTGCGCTCTTTAGCGTTTATTTCGACGGTTGGATCGTCGAATCTTCTCCCAACGAAAAAAGACCCAACCTGCGAATGTATGAACGCCAGCAGCAGGCACGGGTACGCCGCGCTGGACGGCTGCGATTGCGCCATAATAAAACCGCTCCATCTCTTGGACATTCTGCCTCCACGCCCGGCCGCGATCGAACGCTGCCAAATCGCCTGGCCATTCCATGCCGAGGAAGGCGATGGTGAGCACAGTGGCGCTGGCCATGGCGGCCCTGGCCGCCGAGCTCCTCCTCCTCGCAATCATCGGGCCCCTCCGGATCGACAAGACGTGCGCTCTGGGACGTCACAGCCAGATCGATTCGATTGTCTCGAATCGATCGCTCCACTGCGCCAAAGGCCTCGTGTTTGTCTACGATCTCCCGGAGAAATTCAATGTGGAGCTCGTCCGGAGCTGCGACAGCCTCAATCCATGGAAATCGATGTGCTCTGCGCTCTCCAATTCGGGCCTCGGTCCCCCGCTGGGGAAGATCTCTTCATCCTCTTCCTCCTCCTGGTGGCCCTGGAGCAAGGCATGGCAATTTCTCTTCAGGGATCCCGATCGCTGGCCGGCCAGGAGATCGTGGCACGCCACCGATCAGTTTAGCGGCGAGATCATCTTCCACCGGCGAATGCTGGATCACAGATGCCGGACCCTCGATCCAGACGGCGCCTCCGCGTTCTTCGTGCCCTTCTACGCCGGCCTCGACATCTCCAGGAACCTCTGGGCGAGCGGCAAGAGCTCCAGCGATGTGGATTCGCTGGGCGAGCAGCTCCTCCACTGGCTCCAGCGGCAGCACCCGCATTTCAATCGTAGCGGCGGCGCCGATCACTTCCTGGTGGCCGGGCGGATCAGCTGGGACTTCCGGAGGATGCCCAGCGCCGCGGGCGAGTGGGGCAGCAGCCTCTTCCACCAGATCGAGATGAGAAGCGTCAAGCGCCTGGTGATCGAGCGCAATCCCTGGGACGATTCCGAGCTGGGCGTCCCATACCCAACTAGCTTTCATCCCAGCTCCGACGAGGATCTCGCCCAGTGGGTAGAATTCGTCCAGGGCAGCCCGAGGCCACACCTGGTCGCATTCGCGGGCTCGCCCAGGCCGGGCTACCGCTCGGACTTTAGACAGGTCCTTCTCGGGCAGTGCCGCGCGGCGCAGCGCGGTATTTCTGGGTGCCTTGACTGTACCGCCGATACCGCCGGCTGCACCTCGGACCCCCTGCGCGTCACCAAGCTGTTCTTGAGCTCGGTGTTTTGCCTCCAGCCGCGCGGCGATAGCTTCACGCGCAAGTCTCTCTTCGATTCGCTCATCTCCGGCTGCATTCCAGTTCTCTTCTGGAATCAGAGCGCGTACTGGCAGTACGAATTGTATCTCCCCCGCGATCCGGAGGAGTATTCGGTGTTCATCCCGCACCAGAGCGTCAAGAACGGGACCAATGTCTTGGACGTGCTCCAGGGAGTTTCTCGCGAGAGGATCGGGAGGATGCAGCGGGCGGTACTGCGGATCCTCCCCGGGCTGGTGTATGCGTCGTCTTCGTCCGGGCGTCGCTGGGCGGACGCGTTCGAGGTCGCCGTTGATGGAGTCTTGGGCAGGATCAAGGAGGAAGGGAGCTATAGCTAGAGGGCGCGATCGTAGCCACTGGATCGTGGGGAGATCCAAGGGCGACCTGGAATTCCAGTGTCGCATGTAGAGAATTTGAATGCAAAGGTTTGGGTGTAAGAACGGCTTGCAGGGGGATGATCACGATTGATTTCATGGGTCGTGACAGGGAGAGAAAAGGATGTGTTTGGTTGAGTTTGATTTCTATGTTTTTTAAGATTTTTACTTGATCACAGTACAGACTATGTATGTGGAACCATGTGTGGTCTAGAAATCTTCTCTTGATTATGGTTTTGTTGGCAGCCAGCTCTTGGGAGGGTTGTAGACAACAACAACGACTCATGAGGGGAAATGTACTTGGAAACAGGAGAGACACACCGACATCTCAAGAAAGCTTGAAAAAAATATTAAAGTGTAGATTTTAGGTGTGGGTGTATAGTGCAACAAACTTTGAGCCAAGTATCAATATTTTGGTAGACTTCTATGACCTGTTATATTTTTTCATTTGATTTCAATGAGATTAAAGTAATGTAGTCTCACTTTAGAGTGATGACTATAATATTATTCAGCTGAGAGTTTGAAAGGAACATACAAGAAAACAACATTCAATGAAATATAAGTTTTATTAATGATATTCTACTTTGGTCTTATATGCTATTAGGTGTAGCCTCACTAAAATGAATTAAACATTAGATAAATATGATTATATAAAAAGAGATGGACCAAATTCAATCCTAAATGGATGGTCTATATGCTATATAACCATAA